AAAGCAGTAGGTAGAAGTCCTCAGCCCAGGACACCAGAAGGTGACGGTGCAGAGATACAGTCTTTAAAGAGGTCATTATGAAGACCTGAGGTAGTTGGGTGGGCCCCAAGCCAATCCGATTGGCATCCTTATCAGAAGAGGTTTGGTCACAGCACAGAGGGACACCAGGGATGCACACACACAGGAAGGACCCTGAGAGGACACAGCAGAAAGGTGGCTGTGTGCAGGCCAAGGAGAGAGGCCTCAAAGACCCCAGCTCTGTGGTCACCTTGATCTTGACCCTCCCTCATCCAGAGCTGAGAGAGAACAATGCGCTGCTGTACAGCCCGTGGCTGTGGCGTCCGGCCGAGGCACCCCACGGAGCTCCCGCAGCGGCACGGGTGCCAGGAAGCCTCCGGTCCGTCCCGCGTGGTTTGGCCCGCATGCTGCCAGCCGCTGTTGCAGCCAGGCCATCTTTCGGAGAACATTTGCTGGAAAGAAAGTCTCGTTGCTGGCTGTGCCCCAGCGAGACAGCCCCTGTGTGCGGGAGGCTGCCGGGCACCTGCACAGCCAGCCTCCCCGGGGGCCTGCGTGGGAGGCCCCTCGTGGCCCTGGGCAGAGCTGCCTCCATCCTCACTCCTCAGCTGCTCTGTCACCATGGCAACAGCCTCTCCCATCCTGAGAGCATGCTCCTGCCAAGACATCTGGGCGAAGCCGGCCCTGCTCAGTTAAACTGATGGAGCCCAAGGCCACCCTTCTCATCCCTGAGCCCCCCGCCCACTCTCAGTGTCCACCTTGCGGAGGACACAACCTGCTCTGGGGGCTCCGCAGCGGCGTCCTTGGGGGAGCTGTGTGTCAGGGAGACACAGTTGCTCCGCAACAGAGGGGCAGGGAGAGGGGCAGGGGCCGGGAGGAGGAGGGAAGCCAGGTTCTGTCTCTGCTCTGCCACCTGCGTGTGCAGCGCTGAGCACATCCTTCCTGGGTTGTAGTGGGGGCCCCTCCCTGTGGGCTCTGCGCCCCCAGCTCCTGGGGGCTGACCGTGGCTCCACGCTCAGGCTGGTGCCACGCGTGGAGTGATCTGCTGAGGCATCGCTGCGAAGCCCATCGAGACCTCGTCCCTCATTGCCTGTGTGTGTTGTGTGTGCGCTCCCTGGTGCGGGCAGGCTGCTGCCCACCGCTGCTTCTCATGCCAGCTCCTCGCCACATGCGCCTGTCGTGGTTGCTCACTTCACGTGCTCCACCTGTTCTGTGGTCCGTAGAGACTGGCCCGGTGGGCACGTGGTGGCCGGCTGTTCCCGTGCCTCACGCAGGGGAGGGGGGCCGAGGCGCATGAAGGTGCAGCCTCCCCGCTGACACTTCATGGGCCCGCCGCTGCCTGGGATCCATGTGGCTGCGGGTCTGAGGGCCGGCGACCCTGCATGGCCCTGTGGGGCATCGCGCACTGCCCTTGGCAGTGGGAGATGACGGAGTTTCTGTAAACGCCTCTGCGAAGCTGCTGACTGTGCTGTTCCGTTCCTGGGTCCTCGGCAGGAAGGGTCACAGACTTCTCTCTAGGGCAGGCCCCTAGTCCCCCCTGGGTGTGGCCTGAACCACGGTCAGGTGATCAGGACCTGTCTTGTAGGCCCAGCAAGGTGTTCGAGTTCTCTTGTAGAGAGGGCGGAGGCCACCAAGCTGGGCGGTGGGGACCCCACCCCTGCTTTTGGGAGCTCGCTCTGGCAGAGGCTGGGAGGGTCGCCAGAGGCAGGGATCTTCAGGTGCAGGGACCCCGGACTTGGAGGCCATTGGATGAGGCGAAGGAGGGAGGAGGAGGAAGGATGGGAAGCCCCCTGGTTCCTGGCTTGGCCTCTCGGGGCCGGGGGAGCTGAAACAGGATGCAAGTGAGAGAAGCGGTCTAGGGTGGGCAGAGCGAAACGTGTCCGTGGGCCAGCCCCGTGCCCAGGCGGTGTGGCCCTGCCTGCGGGCAGCAGCCTGGGGTCTGAGTTTCCCGGGGCCACCGTAACAAATTGCTACAAACGAGGGCACTTAAAACCACAGAAATGTGCTCTAGGCCTGGAGTCTGGAAGTTGGAGAGGAAGGTGGGGGCAGAATGGGGCTCCCTCTGGAGGCTCTGGGGAGCGTCCCCCTGCCTCTCCCAGCGGCTGGTGGCCCGGGCCTTCCCGGTGGCTGCTCTGCCTCCATCCCCACCTCTGTCGTCTTGTCTTCTCATCCAGGCGTCTCTCCTAAGGACACTCACCATTAGATTCGGGGCCCACCCAAACCCAGATGATCTCATCTCGGGGTCCCTGATTGCATCAGCGGAAGTGCTCTTTCTAAATGAAGCCGCATTCCACGTCTCTGAGGGTTGGGAGGTGGGCATGGATCAGTACGTGGGCGCGTCACTTCACGCCCTGCGCTGCGGAACCGCACCTCGTGCTCCGGGGAGGCTGTGGGCCTGGCCTGAGCTTCCTTCCCACCCACCCCACCCCCCGCCCCCGGCGTGACTCGCTCCTCTGGCCGCCTTTCCTTGTGTCTGCCAAGCTTTCCTTGTGGGGGAAAATCACTCCTTGTCGCCAGCGCGGGATTGGAAGTTCAGCAGAGCCCCTCAGACAGAGCACGAGGAGGTGGGAAGACGGGATGAGAGTGTTCATCGCGCTCTGCTGGGGGCGGGGCTCATAAATGAGTGTAATTACTCCGGTTCCCGCGGGGGCCAGTCCTGCCCGCAGCCTTGCGGAGCGCGGTCTGCAAGTGCATTCATGAGGCTGGCCACGGAAGGAGGGGGGCCACCGGGGGGTTGATCCTGGAAATGGAAGGGCACTCCGGGGTCCTGCCCACCCCTCATGGTGCAAGCGAGGGAAACTGAGGCTTGCAGAATGGAAATGACTCGGCCTGTGGCACAGAACATTCCAAAGAGAGCCAAGACCTGACGCCCAGGCCAAAGCCCAAGGTCACTGCCAAAGTCAAAGCCACTGCTCATGGTCACTGTGGGACCAAGTGTGTCAGAGTTCACCAGCATGTGGCCACATGGGTGTGAGTCCTGGAGGGGTGTTTGCGGTGTCTGTTTGGGGCACCCTCATCACACTACGAGCAGAGTCTTCTCCCACACCTGCCCCCTCGTCAGGAGTCCGTCTTCAGGACTCTGCTTTACTGAGGGACCGAGGGGCTCTGCAGGGACAGCTGCACATGGGAACTAGTGCCTGTCACACACCCAAGGCACCAGGGGGCGGCGAGGCCACAGGCACGGCGGTCCTTGGTGAGCAGAGCCAGAGGTCTCAGAGAGGCCGTCCTGGGACCAGGTGGCCGTGGCCTCCTGCTGCCCGCAGGGTGCTGGGCCACGAGAACTTCAGTCCTGGGCTGCCAGGGGGGCTGCGAGGCCCATGGTGGTGCGGCATCTGCTCTTTTTCCTGTTCAACCTTTAGCCTCGTTTTCCATGATTTCATCTCTGCTTCCTATGACATTGGAAAACCACAGTTTCCAGGGAAACCGTTTGAGGCCCTGGTGACACAGCTCCTGGTCCTCTCCTCACGTTCACATGTGATTCCAGGTTTCTGGTCAATGGCGCGCTTCTAGGAAGGGAGACGTGAGCGTGAGCACAGAGATCCTCCTCCTGCATCTGACCACAAGGATGCAACAGCTTTTTTGGTATTTTGTAAACTCTTGCGTTTACATTAACAGGAAACACCTCTGCCTCTTGGGAGAGGCAGCAGCCTGGCTGGTGGGACAGGGGAGGGGCCGACAGGAGTGATCTTAAAGCTCCCACTGGTGTTCCGATAATGCCAGTGACTGTGGCAGCTGATACTCTGGGACATGCCAGGCAGTGGTTTAAGGCCCTGCCTCTTCTAACCTTCATGGCAAACCTGAGGTTAGGACTGTGAACCCGTTTTACAGATGAGAAAACTGAGGCCTGGATAACAGGGGAACTCACCTTTGATCACGCAGCCAGGAGCTGGCCAAGCTGGGATTCGAACTCCAGACTCTGACTCCGGGGCCATGTGCACAGGTGGAGGGAAGAGGGGGTTCATTCAGAGGGAACGGGCTGGGTAGAGCCCCAGGCAGGGCTGGGAAGAGCAGAGGCCAAGGGCGTCACTGTTCCTGGGGGTGGGGGAGGGGAAGGCCAGTAGGGCAAATCAACTAGTGGGATCTGAGGCTGCAAGGTAGGGAAGAGACTGGTGTGTGCTCAGCCTTGAACGCCATACCAAGGAGTTCCGATCGGCTGTCGGAGCAACCGGGGGAGGGCACAACGGCAGCCTTGCGGCTCATCGAGCCACCCAGACAGGCTGCTCGCCCCCCCTGGGCGCCTGTGCGTCCATCAGGGGTGCTGCCCCTGCGGGCAGCAACATTCTCGGTCCTAAGCAGGAGGTGGGCTTAACTGCTCCACATCTAGGGGACATGGCTTCAGGTGCAGCCTGATCCAGGATTCAAAAGGTATCGCCAGAGCTTTCTCTGCCCTTCATCTTCAGGGCTGTCGGCCCCCTGCCAGGCTCCTGGGTTCCCCTTTGTCGTGGCAGTAGATAGAAGCCCCCCGCCTCCTACCTCCCCGCCGCTGCCCAGCAGAGTGGACAGAGTGCACTCCCAGTATCCCAGGTCCCAGGGTCCCCCCATGGCCACAGCCCACACTGTATGCAGAAGGAGGGGAGTGGTGCTGCGGTGGGAGGGGAGCCCCCAGATGCCTCGCACTCACCCAGGCACAGTTCGCAGGGTGCTGGGCACGCAGTGGGCACTCCATTGGTGCCCCTGGTTGTCTGCTGGGCCACTGATAGGGAAGGTGCATGGAGTGGGGAGGCCTCGGGGGTCACCCTGCCAGGGTGGGGGTAGCGCTGGGCAGCCGGTGGGCACTGGCTGCAGGGAGGTCAGGTCCAGAGGGAGGTGGAACTTCCTGCCTTTGGGGGACTGTGAAGGGTGCCCGGAGGGGCAGGCCCGCAGCTTGGGGACGCTCTGGGGTGGGCGTCTGTCCAGGAGTCTGTCGGGGAGAGGGGTGGGGCAGACCCCAGGGTCCCCGGGCTCAGGGAGCACGAGCAGCCGGGCAGCCTTCCTTGACCGGGCAGACATCGTGGACATCAAGCCGGCCAACATGGAGGACCTCACGGAGGTCATCACCGCGTCCGAGTTCCACCCGTACCACTGCAACCTCTTCGTCTACAGCAGCAGCAAGGGCTCCCTGCGCCTCTGCGACATGCGGGCCGCCGCCCTGTGCGACAAGCACTCCAAGCGTAAGTGCCCCCCCCCCCGCCCCCAGGTGTGGCTCCAGAGGGCGGGAGAGACAGTGGGGGGAGCAAGGGTGTGTTCCGTGAGCTGCGCACCCAAAATGGAGAAGCAGCTGCTGAGGGCCAGTGGGAGCAGGAGAGGGCACGGCTCCCGGGCGACCCCTGCAGGGGGTCACAGAGAGGACGCGGAGGATGCCAGGGTGGGGTGGCTCTGTGGGGGGTGCTCTTTGAGGGTTGAGGTGGGCTTTGCCAAGTGGCATGTGGACCCGGTGACTCCACGGTTTGGTTTGGGTCATGGGGTGAAGGTGGGGCCCTTTGCTGGGATAGGTGCACGGGTGGGTGCGGGGCAGGGGGAGCGGGGCCGGCGTTTGGGACACGGTCAGTGTGAGAGCCTTTGTGCTGGGCTCCAAGGAGAGCTGAGAAGACAGCCGGTGGTGTCCGGAGTGGGGACGGGGGTGACAGGAGGTGACAGCGTGGGAATTTTCTGGGAATGGATGGACAGGAAGCCCAGGGGCCACCTAAGGTGCCCGGGGTGTGAGCGTGCACCTGACCCCACGCCAGCCACTCAGGGCTGCGTCTGCGTCCCAGCACCGCCGTGGCGAATGACCGCACTCAAACGCCGCAGGCTCTTCTCTCACAGTCCCGCAGTTCCGGAGTGCGGCGTGGGTCTCGCCAGACCTCAAGCAAGGTGTGGGCAGGGCTGGCTCCTTTCCGGAAGCTCTGGGGCGAGTTCCTGCACTCACCGTCCTCCAGCTTCCAGGGGCTGCCTGCATTGCTAGGCTCAGGTTCCCTTCCCCCGCCTTCTAAGCCAGCCCCAGGGGGTCCGGGGCCTCTCGCACCGTCTCACACTGGCTGGGTCTGCTGCCTCCCCCTTCACCTCTGAGATGACGTTGGGTCCACCTGGGCCGCCCAGGAGCCCCCCACCTCGGGCAGCCAGTCGTCAACCTCAGGTCCTCCTCTGCATGAGTGCAACGCACGCACGGATCTGTGATGCGGATGCAGACAGCCTCTCGTGGGCACCCCTGCCACCTTCTCCGTGCCCACCTTCTCCGTGCCCGCCCCCTGGATCCCCGCCCCGGGGCCAGCCCTGCCCCTCGGGGCCCAGTGGGAGGGAGGATGAGGCACCTCCTTCTTTCTAGGGGCCGAAGTTCAGACACGCTGCGTGTCCACCAGAGCGAAAGACAGGGACTCCTGTGTACCAGAACAGCATTCAGCCGTTTCAGACACTGATTTAGAAGGTTTTTGATGACACGGAAGGTGGTTATGATACAAAATTCCACAGGGGAAAAGGCACAGCAGTGCCTGCCTGGCCCACACAACTGCAAACGGAGAAAACACGAAATATGCTGAGAAAGGCGCCCCAGCGAGGGTGCGGTTGTCACTTCCCTCCCGGTCTGGTCCGTCTGCATTTGCCCCCTCGTTGTGGGTTTTGGTGTAGAGTCAGGGTCCCGTGGGTGCGGACGGGGCCGTGCTGAGGGGGATGGGACGGACGGTTCTGTGTGCCTCACTATGTCTCAGGGACGCTCCTTGGTGGGCTGGAGGGGCACGGCGGAGCCCCCCTATCCGCCCCCCTGCCTTTGTAGCTTCATGGTCAGTCCCCCAGGGCGTCTGAGCAAGCTGAGCAGCCGCCCACCAGGGCAGCCCCTCCTGCACCTTCCCAGGCAGGCACCCCAGCCCAGCCTCCCGGCACGCAGCTGTCCCAGGCCTGGTGGTGGACGAGCTACGTGTGAACCGGCCCAGACTCCAGGGCAAGGGCTATACCCTCACTTTTGGTACCTCCCCTCCCCTGCACCCCCACCCCTGGGCTGCCGTGAACATTAACCTGGGGGCCACGGCAGAGCCGAGGGTCACCCATCTGGCTCCAGAAGGCTTTGGCAGGGTCAGGGTTTGAAGGGAGGGACACTGTGACTTCTGGCCACCGTAGGCTTTCACAGTGCCCGGTGTTGCCGGGGGCTCTTGCTGAGAAATTTTTGCCCAAACACTATGGGTGAAGGTGGTCTTCGTCTTTCCTACACTCCCTCTGCACGGCTTTGCTAAGATTATTCTACTCTTGTAAAATGAGCCGAGCCCGCTTTCCCTCTTATCCTGGAACAGTTAATGCAGTATGTGGACGTCTTAGTACAACTCAAGTGTGGACCTTCTGTGATTGGTTTGTGCAGGTTGTCTGCTGGAGTCAACTGTGTACTTTAAAGTCTTCTGCATTTCCCCCGCTCTCCGACTCCACATCCCGGGCAGAAACCCCCCTGAAGCCGCAGCCCGCCGCTCCCCAGCTTGTGGCCGCCTCTGCAGCTCCCGTTTCAAACCGGGAGTCGCTGCCGCGTGGGCCCTTCATCCGTTGACTTTGTCCAGGTTGCGTTTGCCCTTAGTTCTCCTGGGGAATCGGACCAGCAGCCGACTGCCAGGGAGCAGGTGGTGGTGGCGTTTTGAACACACGCGATCGTTATTTGGGCTGGATCTTCTGTTTTAGGGAGACCTGGAGATTAGAACTTTCTTCACCTCTCCTGCCCACTCACCCAGCTACTGCCCCCAGCTTGGGGACTGGCTGAGAGGGACACCCTGAGATGGATGTTCACGGTGTCACCTCCCCAGCAGGTGACACAGTGGTGGCCGTGCCCTGAGTGAAGGGTGTCCCAGTTCACAGGTGGGTGTTCGTGCCGCCATTGGGCAGATGAGAAAACCGAGGCCCAGAGAAGAGCAGCAGCTTCCCCCGGCCCCGCCAGGGCAGAGCTGGGGTGCCCGGCTGCCGCTGCTGCGGCCCACGGCTTCCCGTCCTTCTCCAAAGCAGTAGCGATCAAGGTCTTTTGTCTGCTAGTCAATATGACAGCGTAACCATGGAAACAACTGTACAGGACTCCTCCAAATAGACAGTTATTTCTGCTTTTAACAGTGCAGAGTCTGCCAAAAGGAAGGGCTGTGCCAGAGCATGGAGATTTCTTAGGCGAGGCGATAATGACAATCGCCTTCCCTGCCGGGACCCCCACCACGTGCCGCCCTGTGCTGGTGAGATGACCGCCACAGCCGGTGCGCGGTGGGGGCTTGCCCCATGTCCCGCACTGCGCTGTGCTGGCGTCTGGTCGCGTCCTGGGAGCCAGCCTGTGCTGGAGGGAGCACGTCACTCACTCTACAGACCCAGTGTGCGCGCTTCCTGCGGCCGCTGTAACAAATTGCCACACAGTCAGTGGCCCAGACGACACCGCCAGATGCTTCTTCTGCAGCCCAGGGGCTCAGAGGTCTAGCACCCAGGTGCTGATAGGGCTGTATTCCTTCTAGAAGCTTCAGGGGAGAATCTTCTAGAGGAGGCCTGCAGTCCTCCATCTTCAAAGTGTGGCACCCCTCCGTCTCCGCCACCCATCTCCTCTCCAGCCCCAACCTTCCTGTCCCCTCTCAGGGCCCTTGAGGTCGCAGCAGCCCCTGGAGATACCGGGACAGTCTCCGCCACTCAGGACCCTTCATCAGGTCTGCAGAGTCATTTTCCACGAGAGGCAGCACACGCTGGGTTCCAGGGATGAGGATGTGTGCATCCTGAGGGGCCACGGTAGTTTACCACATGAGGGCACAGAGAGGTTGAGACATTTCTCCAAGGCTGCACAGCCAGGCAGAACCAGGAGCCAGGCTTCAGTGGTCTGTGCCTGTCAGCCTGTGCCCTTCCTCACTTCCTCCTCATAGAGGCCTCGAGAACCAAGAACTCTTGGGGGCACCGTGGGTGAGCCCGGGTCCCTGGAAGGGGCTGGGTGGGGTGCTCACAGGCCTCAGCCTGGTCAGGGGCCTGGGGGAGAAAGACCAGACCCAGCCACGCTCTGCTGGGGAGGCTCCTGACACCTGGGCGCAGAGCAAGGTCTCCCAGCAGAGGGGACAGCCGGCGGGAAGGCTCCTCTGGGTGCTGAGGCCTTGGGGCAGGAGCAAAGCAGGGGCGAGGTGGGAGGTGAGGTCAGAGGGGCGGGCGTGTGGCCAGAGGAGGGGCTGCACTGGGAGGGAAGAAGTGGCCTGGCCTGGCTGTGTGTTAGCAGGGTCCCCTGGCCGCCCTGTGGGGGTGGTCATCTGTGTGGTGGGGTGGATGTGGGGGCTAGCAGGGAGGTCACGTGTCCCGTCCCGTGGGAGGTGCTGGTCCTGTGTCCAGTGTCAGGAGAGAGGGGAGGGATGCTGCCGGCTCGGGGCTGCGGGGAGGTGCAGGCCTTTATGGGGCAGGCGGGCTGATCAGAGTAGAGCATCCAAGTGGGGAAGGTTTCTGAAGACGTCCATCTGTCCATGCGTCCAGCGTGGGTGCTCTGATGTACTTGGCTGCTCATCCAGGTGGTTGGGGACGCTCCGCTGCCCCATGAAGAGGGAAGAGTGAGGCTGGGCAGAGATGGGCGAGGGAGGGAGCCTGGCTGCAGGGGGACGCAGGGGCAAAGACCGACGGGGGTGCAGATCAGGGTGGGCATTGGATTTTACTTTTTCTTATGGGGTCAGTCACCCAGTGCTGAGCAGGGCACAGGTACAAGCAGAACTGTGCCCACCGCCTGTAGTGACTCTGTGTCCTGCCCGCTCTGCACAGTCTCAGCTGGGGGTGAGGGGTCCTGAGGGCCACCGCGCAAGAGGCCTTTGTCCCAACAATGGCTTTGTGCAGGAGTGACCCGCTGCCGGGCCTGGGGCACCCTGTGGCCCACACTACCACACCTCCTTTTACTGCCTCGCAGAGCCCCCTGCCCCCCAACTCAGTTCATCCCAGAGCCCTGCCTGGGGGCGCCTGCCCACCCTTCACGTGGGTGTCCTTGTAGAACACCAGAGCAGAGGAGGGACCCGTCGCCAGGGCAACTGGGAGCCACACCAGGCAGGACCCCACGGGCTTCCTGGGCCGGCTCTTCCTGCGTCCCCCCCACAGACTGCAGGCCCCTGCCCTCCTCACGGTGTCCATCTGTGTCCCTCCCAGTCCTCGCTGACCTACACAGATGTCCCTGAAAGTGAGGCTTAAGCCAACTGAAGTGAGGCTTCAGTTCTGCCATCCAGCTCTGATCCCCTTCACCCCAGGCCCCTCTGGTCAGTTCTGCCTGCTCGGTTTAACCCTCTCGGCCCCACAGGCCTGGAGGAGACTGTCCGCATGCCGGTGATGGGAGTGGTACCTAGCAGGCACCAGGGACAGCAATGCAGCAGGAGCCACGGGCGCTCAGCGGCCACTGTAGGCTTCCCTGCCAGGCCTGGACACCGAAGGGGGATTGTGCCGGGCGGGGGCTGAGATGCGTTGGGGGCGGCATCAGCGGGCAGCACCTCCGCGGGCAGCACCACGGCATGCTGTGGGCTCCAGGCAGGGTGGGAGGCCAAGGCCACGGTGCCAGAGGCCAGGCCTCTGCCCCAAGAGCAATCACAGCCCCAGGAGGTGACCCCACACCTCCAAGGATGCCCTGCAGGAGGGCGAGCATTTGATTTCTTTGGAGCATCGGGACAAGACGCATGGAGGGCGTTTGAGTTGAGGCTCCAGAGGGCGAACGGGAGCTGGGAGGAAAGACCAGGGCTAAAAGCGGGAAAGGAAATTTCAGGGAGAGAAAGCATGTGAACAACTCACTATGGAAATGGTTGTGCAGCCTTATTAAGCGGCTACTCCCAGGCCCTCACAGGGCAGGGGGCTTCCAGGCATTGCCCCCGAGGTCCCCTTGGACGTGCGCCAGCGGAGGGAAGCGTCAGGGCTCACACAGAGCGAGGCTCCTTCCTGCCGCCCCTCCAGTGGCAGGGCAAGCCCTGGGAGGCACGTGTTCTGTGTGGTGCTGCCCTAAGGGCCTTGCCTGCGCCCCTTCCCCGGGAGGCTCCGGCTAGAAAGGGTTGGAGTGGGGCTGTAGGAGGTTGGACTAGTGCAGGGGCAGCTGGAGCAGCAGGCCCAGCGACCTGATTTGGAAGGAGCTTGTCAGCCGTAGGTCGGAGCTTGAACCTGGATCCGGTGGGAGCCGTGCAGGGTTCTAAGCAGAGCGGGCACCTGCAGAGGTGTGTGTGGGGCTGGGAGGGAGGCTGGAGCCCGCTCCAGGTGTCACCCGTGTTCCCTCGGACACACAGGTGCTTCAGAGCCCTGCCTGGGCTCCCCAGGGCCCCTTTGCTTTACTTTGTCCATGGGCAGTGTGCTTCTCACACGTCCCCTGTGTTGTGGCGGTAGTGACACTGTGAGACACCCAGAGAAGAGGTCACGGTTGTCAGGGAACCAGCGAGGGCCAAGAGGGCCTTAATTATGCAAAATCCTGAAAGAGAAGCAGGATGGGGGTTTCTGCTGATTCGGAGCCGTAGGAATTCACCATGACGGGGGCGGGGCAGAGGGGTGGAACTGAGCCCATCACAAGGGACGGGGGCTCCGGGGGGGGGTTCCCTGGGACTCTCCGCAGCAGTAATTACCGTGAAATGTCCTCGGTGGTCCTGTCAATTAGAGGGGAGACCCCCGTGTCTCTCACTAATGCCCCGGGAGGCGCCCTGCAGTGTGTGTGAGGGGGAGTGTGGGCGGGGCTGATGCAGAGGAGGGCTCGGCAGACCCGGCTGTCAGTTGATTAAAAAATGGTGTCAATAATTTCGCAGAAATGTTTGAAAAGAAAAACGAGGACTTCTGGTTCAGGCTTGTTGAAATCCCTTCCCATTAATCTCTTTCAGCTCTGATCGTCCTGTGTTTAAAAAGCCATCACACATGCCCAGGGCTGCCAGAATTGGGGTCACAGCGGGCCATCTGGTGTTTGTTTCCAACTATTGATCAGATCTTCTTATTGGCTTTTCACCCGTGCAGTTTCCTGACACTCAGAGCCGCAGAAGGCACAGTCCGTGGCCCTGTGACATCCTCTGTGGGTGCACCCACGCCTGTGACCTGGTCTCCACCCACCCTAACCCCACAAGGGTGGAGGAGTGGGGTGAGCTGGACCAGCCTGAGTGGCTTCGGTGGGGGGCTGGCCACCAAAATCTACTGAGGAGGACCAGGGGGTGCAAAGGATTCCCTCACAGTGGGGGTGCAAGAGACAGACCCAGCTTTATGTTTCTATGACTCAACTTCTGTGCTGACCCTGAACGGCGGACATGCATGAACCTGGGGCAGTGCCGGGGCCGCGCCCTGCTGAGAGTTTGGGGTCCCTCTTCTCTCGGACGCCCTGCCCACTTCCTTCCCAATGTCGGGTCATTATCACTGTCCATTTTATTAAAGTAAGAAGTCCAGCATTGGTTTTTTCTTTACTCCTGCTTCTGGGAGGGAAGGGACATGCCACCGATCCCTTTGGGGTTTGTCGGAGAAAAACTGCGTGTGTCTAGACCTGCGGCGGTAAATAAAGGTGGCGGGATGGTCATTATTACCACCTGGGCACCAAACATGGTTTCCTGAGATGGCCGGTCAGAATTTGGAGGTTTCAGAGGCCGATGGTGACCCGGCCACCAGCAGGCCTCCTGAGGGGAGACCCGGAGAAGCCCGCAGCTCCCTGGGCCTCCCTCCCTCCACGCCCTGCTGTGGCTCCCCGCTGCCTGAGGGGTGGTCTCCTTCCTCTGGTTTCCTGTGCCCTGCTCACCCCTTCCCCGTCTGCACGGCCGTCAGCTTGTCCCTATCTCAGGACGTCTGCACATGCCACTCGCCTGCCTGGAGGGCTCCCCCTCACTTCACCGGGATCTCTGCTCACTCAGCCTCTCTGCAGACGTCCGTCTGTCCACACCTGCAGCCCCAGCCTCTGTCTCCTCTCTCTGAGTTCGCCTCCCAGCGCCGCCACTGCCTGATGGAACAGCACGTCGCTGTGAGGAGCGTTGCTCCTGACGGCTGCAGGGGAGCAGGGGCCTTGCGTTGCTCCGGCAGCTCCCCGGTCCTGGCACGGGGTGGAGGCCCCATGGATGGGGTGACTGAGAGAATGAGTGAGTGAGTGAGCGGTTGATTGCAGGCGAGCATCTGATCAGCACTGGGTGTTCCCAGCCACCCTGCAGAGGGGAGCTGGGGGCAGAGCTGTGCTTCTGGGGAGAACAGGGGCCAGGATGTGGGTGACCGGGTGACGGCTGGGACAGTCCTGGGAAGCGGGATGCGGGGGCCTTGTGACTGGGAGGGCTGCTGGGGAGGGCACTTCCGTGAGCCTCTGGGAAGGTGGGATCCTAGGTCTCCCCACCCCCCGATTCAGCCTGGAGGCTCAGAGCGGGCAGCAGGCAGGGCAGCCACTCAGCCGGCCTCCAGGAGGACAGCTGGATGGGTGGTCAGATGTCTCACCATTCTGGCTGGTCCTCGGCTGCCCACCCCCTGCCCCCACCCCAGATTCCATCCCCATCCCAGGCCCACCCGCAGCCAGGTCCCAAGGAGTTAAAGCCTGGCCCTCAGGGACCTAGTTCCACCTGCTCCAGCCCCAGGACCGCGGTAGAATCTGACTGGCCAGTGGGGGCGCTGGCGAGCAAATGGGTGGGACAGGCAGCCACGGACAGGAGTTTGGAGGAGCTTGTCCTGCTGCCTGGGAACCAGTGGCCAGGGGGCGAGGTGCACTGTGTCCCAGACTGGGATCACCCAGCAGAGGCAGCAAGCTGTCACTGTCAGGGGCCAGGTAGGCAAATCCCTGTGTGGGGCCACTGCTCTAGTAATAATAGGGGGCAGATGGTGGACAACAAATGGGACTTGACTGTGCTACGGCCCCCCGGGGCGGCCAAACAGAAGGCACCTGCAAGCAGGGCTCTGCCACGAGCACCCAGCACCCCATGAACAGAGGCCCCAGGGCCAGTCAGAGCCCCCACAGGTGCCCCGCCTAGTCCAGAACGTTGAGGTCAGGACACCTCACTGGCCTGGATTCAGCATCACCATCGGGAGGCAGCAGAGAGCAGCGAGCCAGTGCCGCTGGGTTGAAAACTCCGACTCCACCCTTTCTCCCAGCTCAGACCTCCAGCAGGGCTGTCAGCCATCTGGGCCTCAGCTTCCTGGGCTCTAACGTGAGAATAAAAACACTATTTTTTTTAAATCAATGATTCTATGCAGTAATGCATGGAGAGGGCTTGGTGCAGACTCTGGCTCAGAGCCGATGCTCAATCGACATTGCCGGCTCTTCCCTCTTTGTAGGATTGTCCTGGGCCGGTGCCTGACAGGGATTCAGTTTTAGGTTTGATGAATGACTGAGTGACCGTGCGGCGCGCACACGGGGTTGAAGCAGAGTCTCATGTCGCTCCGAGGTGGTGGGCAGGAGCAGCCCGTGATGGCTCTTTTTGTTTTTGTCTCTGCAGTCTTTGAGGAGCCCGAGGACCCCAGTAACCGCTCCTTCTTCTCAGAAATCATCTCCTCCGTGTCGGACGTGAAGTTCAGCCACAGTGGCCGGTACATGCTCACCCGGGATTATCTCACGGTCAAGGTCTGGGACCTGAACATGGAAGCAAGGCCCATCGAGACCTACCAGGTAGGCTGTGGCGCGGGTGCCCTTGGAGCCCCTCGGCTGGTGGGAGACCCCAGCCACCCTTTTCTATGCTGAGAACTCCCACCGAGGTGCTTTCCCATGTAGGGGGTGCTTTTGGACGCCCATGCCGTAGGCAAAGACACTGAGTCTCAGGAAGTGAAGCCGACTGGGCCAAGGGCAGGAGGCCCTGCTCAGCTCAACCCCTCAGGGAGCTGTGTGCTCTCTGCTTGCGGCTCCTGCCCTGAGGCCGGTCTGTGGTCTGGCGCTCGGGGCAGCAAGATGAACGTCAGGATGGGCCCAGTTTATGGGTGCACATGATTGAGGGTGTGGACGGTGGCATCCCTCCCCAGAGCCAGTGCCAGCGGTCCCGCCATCGGGGCGGCAGGCTCCGCCCTCTCCGGGGAGTGTCCTCAGTGCGTGTGGTGGGGAAATGGGGGTGGTAGTTGTCCGAGTCCTCGGCACAGGCCCCGTAAGCCCAGCCTGTGAGGTGGAGTAAGGGGCGCCTCCCTGGACAGTCTCTGTTATTAATCATTCTTCTGTCATGATTTGCCCAGATATATTAGGGAGTAGAAAACAAACTCCGGGAGACTTGAAAGAAATAGGAGACTGCTGTAAAGTTGTTTTAAGGCTGTTTCCAGCAATGCCTTTAGCTGGGAGATCGGGGAGGCTTCCTGGAGGAGGTGATGTTTGTGCTGGACCTGGTAGGATGGATAGGATTTGGTTATGCAGATGTGAATGGGATAACACCCCCCCCCCCAGAAGCCCCAGCCAAACCCTCATGGTATCACCAAGGTACACACAGGGTTCCACACGATTGACATCTGTCACTTCTACTCCTCACTGTCCCTTGAAGGGGGTGCCATCAGCCCCATTTTGCAGGCGGGAAGCTGGGGTTCTGAGCAGTTGGGATGTGTGGGAGCTGCCTCACAGCTGGGCAGTGGCAGGTTCAGGACCCACGTCGGAGCCCTGCACCCCCTTCCCTGCCTTCCCTCCCTGTCAGGGCCGGCGATGGGAAGTGTCCCGGGGGGCAGAAGGGGCCCCCTGGGAAGGGACACAAGGTTGAGAGGAACGGACAGGGTGTCCCCAGAAGCCACCTGCCCACAAGGACACCTTGCACGTTCTGGTCCAGTACCTCCTTCCTGCAGTTACCCTCCTTTTTTGGGTCAGTTCACGAAAGGACCACCACAGCTCCTTGGGACAGCCTCCCCATTAGCCGTGCCTGCTCACTGAGTGTGGAGGCCTCAGGGAATAGGGGCCTGAGGGATCTGGGACGGAGGTGCTCCTGGAGGCGGGAACAGAACGTGCGAGGGCCCTGAGGCAGGGGTGCGGTTCATTGGTGAAGGGTGGTTGAGGACCTGTCTGGAAGGGAGTGAGCAAAGGGGAGGCAAGAAGAGCCTGTGGTCCGAGAGGTGATCGGGCACAGCCTGGAGGACCTTGGGACGGTGGGGAGTTTGGAGCAGAGGCGAGACAGGACCCCTCTGCTGCCTGTACTGGGGGACTGGGCCGGGGTTGCGGGCAGAGGCAGGGTGAGCGTTTGCAACACCCTAGGGCAGGGGTGTCAGACTCATTTTCCCTGGGACCACACCAGCCTCCTGGTTGCCTTCGAAGGGATGTAGTTTTAGGACTGTAAATGTAACTGCTCCTTAACGAGGGGCCAGGAGCTCGGCGCTGCCGCCGGGAAGAAACAAGGTGCCGGGCCGGATAAAACTAGGAAGAGGGTTGGATCCGGACCACAGGCCTTGTGTTCGCCACCTGTGCGCTAGGGGACGGGGCGCCTTTTCTCAGTGATGGACATCACACTGTGCTCGTGTGACCTCTGCCCTAGAGGGCATGACCCTGCACCAGCGGGGTCCCGTACCTGGTCCCAGAAGAACCCACCAGGCATACACTCTTATCGCTTTAAGGATGAAGGAACCAAGGCTCAGAGACGTGAAGTTCCTCATCCAGGATCACACGGCCGGGGAGGGGAGGGGTGGAGCCAGGATTTGGTCCCCTTTGTCCCCTCCCTGGCCACAGCCCAGGGGTTGGCCCTGTGCCAGGCTGTGGACCCTTCCCGACCAGCAGGGCCCACCTGGGAGTGCCACCAGACCCGGAGGGTCACTGCTCAGCGAGGCCCCCCTGTGGAGGGGCCCGGCAGTGCTGGCCCCTCCGACTCACCGGCCCCTTCCCCTGCCAGGTGCACGATTACCTGCGGAGCAAGCTCTGCTCCCTGTACGAGAACGACTGCATCTTTGACAAGTTCGAGTGCGCCTGGAACGGGAGCGACAGGTAACCTCTGCCCCGGGCCAGCGGGGCCCCCAGAAAGCAGGGGTCCCCAGAGGGGTGAAGCCGTATGTTCAGGAGTGAGGTCTCCTGCAGCTGCTGCTGACACCCTGGGCCCCCCGGCCCATGGGGCCTCCGGAGCCGGGCTGTGCTGGCTTGGTGGTCATGGCGGGGGGAGGGCACTTCAGGACACCAGGAAAGCCAGGATAAAGGTGCAGGGCTGAGCCTGGGCTGAGGGCACCCCTGGCACTTCCTCTGGGTACCTGCACCCCAGCTGACCCCAGACCCGCCCAGTGAGGCTCCTCAGGTACCCACTCCGAGCTGTAGGCCCCAACACACTGGGGGTGCCCTGGAAAACACTGCCAGTGGGTCGTGGGATGGGGGTTCTGTTCTTAATGCTGTCAAAAGGTAGATCCAACTGCATGTGTGGGAGCATTGGGGGTCCCCACAGGGTGTGACCACTGCCCGCCTTTCCTTCATATTGCCACCAGGGGGCGCGCATGAACAGGCGAAGCCTGGCTCCTCCTTGCTGCCTGAAGGCCACCACTTCCTGCCCTGTGCTTCACACTCTGGCCACCCCCAGCCCTGCTGGTGTCCGCCACCCTGTTACTATCCCCCTGCCCCGCCATAACCTGCTCTGCTCCTGTCCACTCCTGTCACCTCACATTACTGACTTAACTCAGGGGCACCTCCTCCAGGAAGGCCTCAGGATCCTCTCCAGCTTGTCCCCGAACCTCCTGGGCTTTCCTTCCCTGTCTTGGCATTTGTCATATTTCCTCCTTGCCTCTGGTTGCCGCCCGCCACTGGTTGGGGCCCCCCTTCTGAGCCGCTCCCCTGGGGCTCAGGAGGGTTTGGTCTGGAAGGCATAGTCCTGTGCCACCTTCTCTCCTTCTTCCTGAACACCCCTCTGCGCCTGGCACACCCTGGGGACAGGGATCTCGAGATGGATAAGCCCTGGTCCCTGTCTTCCCCCAGCTCAGAGGCTAAGGGGAGGGCAAGTGCTGCCCACCAGGGCCCCACCCCTGCAGACCAAGCCAACCTGAATCCCGCGGGCTTGGCGTGTGCCGTCCCTCTCATGCTGATGGGACGCTGCAAGTCCCCAGTGCGTGGCCACTTAGACTGCTGGTGTCTGCTGGCCTTGCCATGGCCCCTTACTGGCCTCCAGCAAGACCTAGGTGGCAGCCTGGGGAAGAGGAAAGGTTCTGGTCCGACACCTCGATTTCTGGTGCACACTCCCCCATTCTCCGGCCCAGCACAAGCCCCGAACCTCCTGAGGCTGCTCACCTGGAAGGTGGCCTTCCAGGCCTGCTCTGAGGCTGAGACCTGGCAGGCGAAGCTCCTGGCAAGGCCATGGGTCTGCGCTGGCCACAGGTAGTCCAGTGATTTGCATGTAGGGGTCTGTTGTCCATCCTGCTTGCCCACTGAGCCTCCAGACCCACCTCAAATGCTACCCCCTCCAAGAAGCTCTCCTTGGTCTGTCTGGGAGAAAGGGATTTGTGTCAATGGAGCGTCTTCTGGCTGCAGGAACCAGACAAGCCTATGCTGGTTCTGAGCGCTTCCAGGTGCCGCTACAGCTACCGCGGGGCTGTGGCTTTGGGGGCTGTCCCTCCTGTGTCCATTCTCACCTTTGCTCCCCCTGCTTCTCCTTACATTCTATCTTGATCTTCTCCTGCTGGAGACATCGCCCCCTTGCTGCTGGGGATGATGACTCCAACGGTGCCCCTCCCTTGTCCTCAGAACCCCTACTAGGGCTTAGGAAAAATTCCCAGGGAAGGATCTGATTGGCTTTGTCTGGGTCGCATGCTCCCTTTTTGAGCCAGTCAGCATGGACGTGATTATAACATGTCACGGTTGGCCCGCTGGGGGCAGGTGGAGCGCTGTGATTGACGGATCCTCCAGAGCCCCCCGGGTGGGGCAGGCCCCTTCCCAGTGGAGAGAGGACGGCTGGGCAGCAGCAGCGGCCAGGCCCCTGACCCTGCGTGCAGATGAGGAGAATGAGGCCGGCAGGGGGGAAGCAACTTGCCCGGATGCGAGTTAGGGCAGGCGCTGCCCTTTGCCCTGCTCGGAGGACCTTCTGGAATGTAAGAGGACGGTTAAGAATGGCTGCTGTGGTTTGCACGGGCCGGGACCTGGTGTTCCCAGGGCAGAGACCCTCTTCCTGCAGGTGGCGAGGGGGCTCCGCCTCCCCTGGAGCTGTCTCCTGGGCCCTGCCCCTTCCTAGAACCAGGATTAGTACCTGTGGGTGCAGCTGGCTTGAATGATCTGACTCCCGCTTCCCCGTAATTATCGGGAGAAGAACGGGTGTTGTGTGCAAGCACCCACTGGGCGTGACGTGTTTGCCAAAGAACAAAGGAGCGCTGCCTTCGTGGAGGGAGGGGCGTGGCCCCAACCCGCCCCCGAACCTTCCCACGGCCTCCCTAGTCTCCCGGCTCAGCTGAATCAGCGTGGCTTCCGGCCACGAGGATTAGACTGAGAGGCACCTGTTGACATTTAGGATGCGGAGTCTGCAGAGCCCAGCACCCTTCTAAGTCTCTGACTGTGTTACCCAGTGCAACGTGCACAGGGGGCCGGGGACCCTCGGCCCCCACCCCACGTTATAGATTGGGAAAGCAAAGCTGTGAGCAGACCTGGGGGGTCTGGGTGGAGCCCAGCCCCTGCCCACACTGCCCAGCCTGGGAGCTAGCCTTTGCCTTTTAGGGCCAGTAACTCAGGTGGGGAGAGCAAGCCCTCCGTCCCCCCCTTTACAGAGGGCAGCTACTGGCCCCAGGTCACCCAGCCTCTGGGGCCACCCTGCCTGGCTCCTGACCCCCGTCTGAGCTCTGGGCCGCTTCTCTGGCCCATCCCTGACCAGTGGGCCTGCTTGAGGACCAGGGCAGCACCCACCCTGGGCGGCTGAGTGAACCCGGGCGGGGCTGCTGTGGGGCCTGACGGGCTTGCCTGATGGGTCAGAGCCTCCGGGGGACCCCTCTTCTCTGCAGGCTTTGGGCATTGGCTGCCCGAGAGGGTGGCCCGGGCTGGGGTGGAGATCACAGGCCAAGAGGTCAGGTGGCGGAGGTTGGGGGCCTGGCTCTCCCTGGGGGAAGGAGAGAAGAGCCCCCCTTCTCTCATAGTCCCCCCAGCATGTCGCCCCGGCGTCCTGCGGCCGGCACGGCGGGCAAGCAGGATGGGGCAGGAAGGAGAGAAAGCAGAAACCGCCTCTGAAAGTGCTTGTCCGACGGGCGTGGGGCTGGTCAGCGCCGGCCACCTTTGCTCAGTTTCCTGTGGGGCCCCGGCAGGTGCGACCCAGCAGGACGCAGAGCCTGACCCCGTGGGTGCCTGTCAGGGCCACAGGCACATCCCCCTTGTATTCTGCCCCAGACAGGCCTGGTGGGGTGCTTCCCGGGGCCGGGAGGTCAGAGTTGGTGCTCGCTGCTTTCTCTCTCTCTCTCTCTCTCTCTCTCTCACACACACACACACACACACACACACACACACCCACCCCTCTCGTGCTCCCACCGCCCTTTATACGCTATTCTCCTACCCTGGGGGGAGTGGTTCCCCTCTGTCACCATGGCTGCTTGTGTGTCCATGACAGGCCACAGTTGCCCCCCGGTGTCCCGTTATTGCCAGGGTTCACCCTAAGCCCCCCTCCCCCAGCCCAGGGACGCGGTGGCACTGAGGGCTGTGTGGCCTTTGTTGCGTCCTCCACCTTGGCTGCAGCAGGGGCCTCACCTGGCCCCCAGCTCTGTCCTCTGGCGTGGCCCTTGGAAAGCCTGGCCCACAGAAAGCACCAGGACAGATGTCCCCAGGTCTTGCTTGGGCTCTCCCCAGGGCCTCATGCCAGGGCATGTCTTCTAGGAGAACCACTCTGGGTTGGGGACTTCACTGCCACTCCCTTCTTCCATCCTGGTCTCTGTCCTGAGCCCCCAGTGAAGGTCGAGGCCACTCCTGGGGATGACCTGGCCGAGGGCTCCCCCACTGGGTGGCCTCCTGTTGGCTGAAATGACCAGGTGCTGGACACCAAGGGGCAGCCACTGGCCCTCATGCTTCTTCCAGTGACCGAGTCACCAGACCTTCCCTGGTCCCCGGGCATCTTCAGGCTCAGCAGCCTCCCTGTACCACCCTGGGGGGTCCCATTGCAGTGAGGTCCCCCGGGCCATGACTGAGGGGATGTTAGAGCCAGCCCAGCCTTCCCTTCGGAGCGAAGAGGGGCTCCTTCACGCTGGTGGGGGGTGTTGGTCTCCGCTCACTTGTGGGCACCCCACCCAACGCCATGTGCCTCCCTCCACACACCTCGTTGAATTGTCTCAGCAGCCAGCTGTTCTGCCATGTGAATTGAGGTGTTAGAGGCGGAATTTCACAGCAGAAAAGAACGGAGCCTCAAAATACATTCGCGTTCTCCACCCACCCTCCCCTCCTCACCGGAGATGACAAATCTCAAAAAGCCAGAACTGTCTGGCCGGCCCCCTCCCCAGTCACGCATCCCCACCCCCAGCCCCGCCTAGAGAGCCTCCGAGAGGCCCTCCACGCCCCGCTGGCCCGGCCTTGCCCAGAGGCCCGGCCGTCCAGGTGAGCACCACCTGGGCCCACCTGGGCCCACCTGCACACCCCACAACTTCCACAGAGGAGCCAGTTTGCAGACCGGTTTTAGTCCCATTGTCCCCAAACACCTGCCCACCGATGTCTGAACACATGTTCAGAGAAAACAAAGGGGGGGGGACCCCCAACACACTGTGCACGGTGGGCTCTGGCCAAGCCCAGCCTCGTGGGTACACGGCCGCCTCCAGGCATCGAACCGGTTGCACAGCAGAGTCCTGAACCGCTCACGAGCGGGAACTGGAAGGGGATTCTTGTCCCAAAGTGCCAGGCCCCAGGGAGGGAAGGTTCTTCCCGTGAAGAACCAGAACTTCAAGGGGCTGCCTTACAGTGAGAAAGGGGAGAGGCCAGTCCCCTTGTTTTCTTCTTTCCTTTAAAAAAGATTTTATTTATTTATCTTTAGAGAGAGGGGAAGGGAGGGAGAGAAACGTTGATGTGAGAGAGAACCATCGATCGATGGGCTCCTCTCACCCCGGCCCCCGAACCCTCAGCGCAGGCCTGCGCCCCGACAGGGAATCAAACTGGTGCCCTTTCCCTTTGTCAGACGACGCCTGCCTCTGAGCCACACCAGTCAGGGCAGCCGCCTTGTTTCCCTAGCGGATGGACAGATGGAACATCCTCCTTAGCAGGGTGGGGCAGTCCCGTGCACAGCTGCACACGGGCCAAGTGCAAACAGCATTCCTGGACCCAGCTGCGCAGGGAACATAGGGTCCCCCCTACCCGGGGCATGCGGGAAGGGCGGGCCCTTGGTCAGCCCTGGGTTTGCAGTCCAGCATCTTCTGCATTCGGTCCCTCTACCCTACTTTCTTGTGGTCTCCCCTCCGAAAGTCCGGGGCTCTCGTGCCTGGAGCAGAGGGGAAGAGGGACAGGAGAACAGCTCCTTGGGGTTTGGGGCCAAGCCCTAACCAGGCCTTGGTGCCTAGCCCTGAAGTCTGAGGACAAGACCCTGAGGGAAAGGAGTCTCTGGGTCAGGCCTGGCCCCAAGTCCCTCCCCTCCCCTCCCCTCCCCTTCGTGGGCTCCCTTTCCATGGAGCGAGGGCCCCCGCAGCCCTGGGTGTGAGTTTCGGGAAGGGGCGGGCCTCCCTTTCCCACGCCCTCCCTGCCTGACGCCTCCCCTCCTCTGCCAGCGTCATCATGACTGGGGCCTACAACAACTTCTTCCGCATGTTCGACCGCAACACCAAGCGGGACGTGACCCTGGAGGCCTCCAGGGAGAGCAGCAAGCCGCGGGCGGTGCTCAAGCCGCGGCGCGTGTGTGTGGGCGGCAAACGCCGCCGGGACGACATCAGCGTGGACAGCCTGGACTTCACCAAGAAGATCTTGCACACGGCCTGGCACCCGGCTGAGAACATCATCGCCATCGCGGCCACCAACAACCTGTACATCTTCCAGGACAAGGTCAACTCCGAGATGCACTAGGTGGGCGCGGAGCCCCATCCCCGGAGCCCGCCTGTGTGGCTGTCCCCGACACGACGGTCAAACAGCCACTGGAGGAGAGCATGTGGCCCCGAGGGGCAGTCGGCCCCTGGGCCAGGCCGCCTTGGCTGGGGATTGTGTAAAGTGCGGGACACAAAGCGGTCACAGCCGCAGATCGTAACCTGGACGTGATGGTGGGCCTCCAAGTTCAGGGTTCTTTCATGCCTGCACTTGACCTGCCTGCGGTCTTTACCACATTGTTAGGGTTTTTACATCTCCAGGTTAATTTTTCACTCCAGCGGTTTCTTTTAAGCCAAGCGGGAGCCAGTGGGAGCTGTTCCTCTCGTGCCCCAGTGGCCCCAGATCGGGGCTCTGGGGGCAGTGAGTGAAGCTCAGACGAGCCAGCCAGAGGTCCTATATTATAAAGGGGGTGGGCTCCACTGTCTCAGAGCTGAGGGCCTCACGTTTGCATTTTGGATTGTGAGTTCATGCTGAGACTTTGGGGCTGAAAGCCCGTCTTTTAGGTTCTTTCAGTGTCTTTCAATATCCCAGGTCTGTTCGTTTCCGATAGGAAGGGGCGGGGTGGCGTTTCCCACGTGCGCCTGTAACTCCCACAATTTAACCCAACTGTGCTGCCGCATCGGCCATGGGCCAGGCAGGGCCCTCGTTCCTCCTCCGTCACGGGACGCTTTGTGGGAACTTGCCTGGCTCTGTCCTTGACCTTATGGAACCTTCCTCACGCACACCAACTGCTCGCTGAGGGCCAGGCTCTGTCCGTGTCAGGTGCTGGGGGTGAAAATGTGGATGTGAGGAGACGGAGGCCCCACAGTGATCTCCAGCTGGCCCACGGCGGGCACCAGCCATGCAGTGGCACCCAGAGCCCGTCTGGGTCTTCCCACGGGTGCTTTCCGACTGTCGGTGGCCCACAGTGAAACCAGGCTTGGCTGGAAGGTGACCTTCAGTGTGAAGGAGGACAGAGCAGGGAGAACGGTGACAGGGTCCCGGGAGCGCTGAGGGGCAGGAGGGGGAATGGAGAAGACCCTGGAGGCTCCTCGCTCTGCTTGGTGGCGCCGGAAGTCCGGCCCGCCCTTGGTCCCCCCACCCCGTAGGCCCCCTTCGCCCACGCCACCCCTGGCACCTTTTCCGATGCACCGAACCGCCTCCAACAGAAGCTTGCATGTTCTGGCCATGGTAGGGCACCTTTTCCTCCCTGACCACAGTCCTGGGGTGCTTCCCACAGGGCCACAGAGGTCAAGGCCAGCCCCACCACTCTGCCGCCCACCCACTCACCCACCCACCCACCCACTCACCCACCTGCTGCCCAGGAAACAGACCCACGAGAGACGTCTCTCCGTGGGTGACGGTGTACCTGTGTGCGTGTCAAAGCACAAAACGCATGTTCACTCAGCTCCGGCCCTACTGTATTTACACAGGGAAATGGGTCCCTGGGCTCTTTTTTTAATCAACATGAATGAAGAATGTTTGTTTATATGTCACTGTAAAACCCAGGCCCTCTGGACAGTATTATATGTACATATCTATCCTGACGGAGGTGAACGATCACGGGATTCGGTTCCTTCTTTTCCCCCTTTGTAAAGAGGTTCACGAAAGTGGTCAATTGTATAGACATCTTGTTGAAGCCACACTCCAGCTCGGAGGGCCTCACACGCTCCCTGGGGTGCTTGGCCAACCCACGTCCCTTCGTGAGTCAGACGCCGAAGAGGCAGCTCGCGGCGGCAGCTAGAGGTGACTGTCCAGTCGGGTCCCCCAGCGGACTCGCCCTTCCCTTCTTCCAAGTGGGAGTCTTACGCTGGGTTCAGAAGGAGGTCTAAATACAGCTCCTAGTTCCTTACACCTGTTTTAAACTTTGGATACCCAAACAAAAAGAAACATAGCGAAAGGCCCAGAAAGAAAAAGATCTTTTCAGAAGAAGAGCCTGGGAAATAATGGCCAAAGCAAACCGTGAAGAATAGAATACGTGTTGAGCAAGGTGGGCGGGGCAGGGGGCGACGCGGGAAGAGGTGGAAGGACCAGTGAAACAGAGCTAGGTGTTGGGGCCTTACTCCGCCCGGGTTTTCTGCCCCTGCGGACTGTGCGTCGTGCTCATCGGTGTTGTGAAGTGGTCGGGTCGTGTTCGTTTTCGGTTTCATTCTCTCTGAGGACGGAGCTCTCGCGGCGGGGGCGGGGGAGCGTGCAGCCCGTGCTGGCGGAGTTGGCAGACCCTCCCGGGCTCTGTAACTCACAGGTGCATTGCTTTCTTTGGTGTCTCAGATTATCCAACTGTTGAATAAAATTATAAATATGTGAATACCAGCTTTTTCCAATAAAATAACAAATGTTACATGGAGAATGCTGCTCCGCACGGTGCTTGTCTTTCAGGAGGCCCCTCGCAGGGCGGTGGGTCCTGTGGGGGGAGGCGATATGGTGAAGGGGGCACCCGTGGGTGCTGGGAAGCCTGGTGTCCCTCGAGGCCTTGCTGCCTGCAGCTCCTAAGGCAGCTTCCAATCTTTCCGAGCTCTGAGGTCCCCACCGAGGACGTGGAGCTAATGGTAACGTGGACCTCACCGTCCTGGGGGCGGGCCGAGCCCCATGCCTGGCGCGCAAGCCCCCAACATTACGTGGTTGTTCGGAGCCAGTGAGCGTGACCCACCCTGATTCCCAAAGACTCTCCCACGATCTACCCTGACCCTCATGTTCAGCACGAGAACGTGGTGTGAAGGAGGCCCTGAGGTGCGGAGAGGTCGGGGCCTTCGCTGGAGACCGCACAGCTGGTGTGCGCAGGTGCCGGGATTTGAGCTTGGGCTGGCTACCCCCTAATCCAGGGCTCCCCCCTAATCCAGGGCTCCCCTGAAGACCCCCTCCCCTATTCCTCTATGTCCCAGGGAAAGGGGCGTGAAAGGGCAGAGACCACAGGGTGTTGGTATTAGTTCTGGAAGCCAGAGAGGCCCAGCCCAGCCTGCTGCCACGGCTGAGGTGAACGAGGACATGTGGGGACGCGTGTGGGCACCCCTCCTGGCAGTCTCAGCCCTGCCCCTCCGTGCTCAAGGGGCCCTCACACACCAGGCCCAGTGAGAGGGAGGCAGGAGCTCCTCCGGAGGGTCTGCGGGTGGGGTTTCCATCAGCTCCATTCTCCATCAACCACACAGCCCTTGGGATGCAGAGTAATGTGAGAGAAAGCTGCTTCCTGGCTGTGTGACCTTGGATGTGAGGCCGACCTCTCTGAGCCGCGCCTGTGCGCCAGAGGGCAATGCCGCTCCTGACCCCGTGGTACCACTTTGTGGGGGACATGATGTGCCATTTCATTTAGGCTTCACGTTATCCCTTTTGAGGTGGGACTCCGAATGGGGACCCCAAGGTGAGGAGAGTAGCCTGTGTCCCCAGGCGGACCTGACTGCCACCAGTGTCCTGGAAAGCAGAGCACCTCCGCTGGCCATGCTCAGAGGGAGCCGCACCAATGGGGGACGGCCGGGGCGGTGGCGCTGAGGCTCCGCCTGCCACTGCGGCTGGGAAGAGGGAGGAAGGGGCAGAGGCCAAGGGCTCAGGGAGCTGGAAAGGGCCTCTGGGAGGGACCGTCCATACCGTGACTTGAGCCCAGGGGGACCCAGGTGAAACTTCTGACCACAGACTGCAGGAGAGTGGGCGTGGCCTGTGGCAATGGCTGTAGCAGCCCACCCATGGGAGCACCCTCAGGCCCGTCCAGCCACTCGTCCGAGTCACACACTGGTGAGTAGGCAGCAGAGGGGGGATTGGACACCACATCGCCCTTTGTGAGGGTAGGAGGGTGCAACCCTGGTGGGGAGCTCTGGAAGTACTCGGGGTGGGGGGCGTGCAGCCTGGCGGGGAAGCAGAGGAGCAGGCAGGGGCTCCAAGCTGGGTCTCCAGGTGGGCGGCCAGGCCAGGTCCCACTGGGTCCACCCAGGTGGACGGCCCAGGGCTCAGGGCAGTGGCTGGGCCCAACACAGGTGTGCTCCAGCTCCGCTCCCCTCCCCGCACCTCTGCCAACTGCAGGGCATTGTCTGCTCTGATGAGAAGGTCACTGTCACCCTGTCGCTCCTCAGCCCTGAGAGCTCTGAGACCCTTCACACCCACTGGGCTCTGCCCGGCCTGGCATGTGGGCCACTTGGCGACGAGCCCAGCACGCTGCCGGCACTCGCTCCCCCCACATGCGGCACCATTACTGTGTTCACTGGGGACACCTGAGAGCCCTGCCCCTCCCCTCTGGGCGCTCTGCTGAGCGGGCAGTGTCCGTCACCCCACTCACTTCACCTGCACGGGCACCCTGGTGGGGGGCTGAGGTTTTCCTCACTTTACAAATGAGGAAACTGAGGCACAGAGAGAAGGATGATTTGCCCAAGGCCACAGATTTGTGAGCCCCGGAGCCAGGATCAGACCCCAGGCCATGTGGCCCCAAACGGGGACCAGGACTCTGCCACCTGAACCACTCACTGCAGGTCCCTGCAGGTGCTCTCTGGTGGGTGTCTCTGGCCACAGCCCCCACTGGTCCTCTGCAGGAACTAAGTCTGCACCCTGTCCCCCGAGACTGCTGGCCGAAAGTCTGCCTGCCCCCCACGCTGGCTCAGGGCCTGCTGCACAGATCCAACCACCTGAGGGAAACTTAGCAAAGGCTCACCAGCTCCTGGTGGGGGGTTTCCTAGCAACCGAGAAGCATTTGGAGCAGCTGTGAACCATTGCCTGGGTTGTGCGTGATTCATTGCAAACACCTCCGTCGTTTCATGGAAAACAAAGCCCCATCCTCTGCACCTGGACAGTATCAGCCCAGGGCCAACACAGCCCAAGGACACCATGACTCTCAGAGAGGGACTGAAACATCGCCACAGGTGGCAGCATCGGGACCAAAGTGAAAATGGAAATGGGGAGGAATCCATCGTTACCATTATGCCGAAAGTGTCCACCACACAGCAGAGAACTGGGGGTCTGGAGAAGTGAATTGTCCGTGTAAGACCTTCCCACATCCCACCAGAGGTGCAGACGACCCTTCGTTCCTGAGCGGGCCCAAGAAGAACGAACGTCGCCTTGGAAGGACGGTCTATCTGCAAATCTGTGCGCCACTCATTTATTCACTCAGCAAACGTTCTCGGAGCACCTGTGTGGTGGTGGGCAGTGCTGAGGCCTGGTGGCCGGAATTCATGTCCTGGCTTGGGCGGTAGCTGTGGTCTCGGGGACACCACCTAGGCTGGCTGTGCCCCAGTCTGCGGCATGTGGACACTGGCAGCACCCAGCTGGAGGGGCCGTGGGACCCAACAAGAAAGTCCGTGCATGCTTGGGCCACAGGGAGCCCACCCCCGCCCCCACAGCCTGTCAGCGACCTCACTGCGGTTCCCTTAACTGCCCCGAAGCTTCAGTGCGGTCCTGCTACCCCTGCCGCTGGGCCCTGGCAGTCCCTGGGAGACTGGCACAGTCTGGGCCTGAGCTGAGGGTGCAGAGGCCTCACTGAGAAGGGCAGCCTGCAGGAGGGAGGGGGAGCCAGGGGAGGTGGGGTGGGGGGGAAGGGGGTTCGTTGGAGCCTGGAGCTGGCGGGGATACCTGCCAGCAGGGTCCAGGGGTCCCTGGGCTTCCCCAGGTGCTGGCTCTGTAGCCCAGAACCTGGAGTTCCTACTGCCAGGCAGTGGGAGGTGGTGGACGCTCGCCCTTGTACCCCATGTGGGCAGGCTGGGTGGAAAGGTCAGTCCAAGGGTCCTGTGCCCCGCTAGTCAAGGGAGCTGTGTGCGGCCCGGTGAGGCTGGTCCAGCACTCTGCCCTGACTCCGGAGAGCACGGAGACGCTGCCCGAGGCCCCGTGTGGTGGAGGCCTCATCGTGGTGCCGTTTCTGACATGGCAGCCTACACCAGGATGTGGCTTCCCCCCGCCAAGGCTGGCGGAGAGGGAAAGGACAGGCCTGCATCCCTTCCCGTTCCCCCACTGGCCACATACTGGGCACCTGCTGGGCGAGGCTGGGAAAGGCGTTTCCTTGGCAGCAAGGGATTCAGCTCCGGGTCAGGGCTTCCCCCAAAAGAGGGCAGTAGGGGGCACGTGGTTGTTGGTGCCACAGACAGAATGATGGGGTGCTGCTCAATCTTTCCGGGGCTACCACCCCACG